CTGGAGTCAAAACATTTACAAAAAAACACACACACATAAAAAAAAAAACAAAAAAAACCCAAAAAACACAAAAACTCTGTCGGGATTAAAACTGAGGATTTTCTGTTAAAGCTGCACTGTGGAACTTTCCTGGTGCAGCGCTTGTCCCCTGCTGCTGGTCTCCGTGGAGATGTTACTGTTTTGTCTTTAGAATGTTCCATGATACGTCATTACCGGAAGTCCTGGTTTAGTCCTGGTTTAGTCCTGGATTAGTCCTGGTTTAGACCTGGATTAGTTCTGGTTTAGACCTGGTTTAATCCTGATTCAGTCCTGGTTTAGTCCTGGTTCAGTCCTGGTTCAATCCTGGTTTAGACCTGATTTAGACTTGGTTCAGTCCTGGTTTAGTCCTGGTTTAGACCTGGTTTAGTCCTGGTTTAGTCCTGGTTTAATCCTGGTTCAGTCCTGGTTCAGTCCTGGTTTAATCCTGGTTCAGTCCTGGTTTAGTCCTGGTTTAGTCCTGGTTTAGTCCTGGTTCAGTCCTGGTTTAGTCCTCAGTCCTGATTAGTCCTGGTTAGTCCTGGTTTAGTCCTGGTTCAGTCCTGGTTTAGTCCTGGTTCAGTTTCAGTCCTGGTTTAGTCCTGGTTAGTCCTGGTTCAGTCCTGGTTTAGTCCTGGTTTAGTCCTGGTTAGTCCTGGTTTAGTCCTGGTTAGTCCTGGTTCAGTCCTGGTTTAGTCCTGGTTTAGTCTGGTTCAGTCCTGGTTTAGTCCTGATTCAGTCCTCGTTTAGTCCTGGTTTAGTCCTGGTTTAGTCCTGGTTTAGTCCTGGTTTCAGTCCTGGTTTTAGTCCTGGTTTAGTCCTGGTTCAGTCCTGGTTTAGTCCTGGTTTAGTCCTGGTTTAGTCCTGGTTTAGTCCTGTTCAGTCCTGGTTCAGTCCTGGTTTAGTCTGGTTTAGTCTGGTTCAGTCCTGGTTTAGTCCTGGTTCAGTCCTGGTTTCCTGGTTTAGTCCTGGTTTAGTCCTGGTTCAGTCCTGGTTTAGTCCTGGTTAGTCCTGGTTCAGTCCTGGTTTAGTCCTGGTTTAGTCCTGGTTTAGTCCTGGTTCTGGTTTAGTCCTGGTTCAGTTCTAGTCCTGTTCAGTCCTGGTTTAGTCCTGGTAGTCTGGTTTAGTCTGGTTAGTCCTGGTTTAGTCCTGGTTCAGTCCTGTTCAGTCCTGGTTTAGTCCTGGTTTAGTCCTGGTTCAGTCCTGGTTTAGTCCTGGTTCAGTCCTGTTCAGTCTTTAGTCCTGGTTTAGTCCTGGTTCAGTCCTGGTTTAGTCCTGTTTAGTCCTGGTTCAGTCCTGGTTTAGTCCTGTTTAGTCTGGTTCAGTCCTGGTTTAGTCCTGGTTTAGTCCTGGTTCAGTCCTGGTTCAGTCCTGGTTTAGTCCTGGTTCAGTCCTGTTTAGTCCTGGTTCAGTCCTGGTTTCAGTCCTGGTTCAGTCTGGTTTAGTCCTGGTTTCCTGGTTCAGTCCTGGTTTAGTCCTGGTTCAGTCTGGTTCAGTCCTGGTTTAGTCCTGGTTCAGTCCTGGTTCAGTCCTGGTTCAGTCCTGGTTTAGTCCTGGTTTAGTCCTGGTTCAGTCCTGGTTTAGTCCTGGTCTCCATGGAGATGTACGTCATTACTGAGGCTCCGTTTACACTGAAATGAATCCGAGTATCATCGTGTTGGAAACGATCTGCGTCCAGACACGTCGTTTCTGTTTCCGCAATCAAAGTCCACGTTCAGTCTGCAGGTTTAACGCTCAATTTGGATTTTTTTTGTGAAATCCGATGTTTTTTCGAGGTGGTTCACATTTCCAGTTAAATGTGACTTGTATGTGACTCCAGTGTGAACATTAAACGGTCCAAAAGTGTCCCACATGTGACACTGGAGACACGACGACGTCAACCGCAGCGAGCGTCTCTGTGTTTACACAAGTTGAACAAACATGGACGCAGCATCGAGCACCTGGAGATTTTAAAGTTCCTCTCGTACCGGAGCCACAACATGAACAACTGACTTGTTTTAAGGAGGAGATTGAGAAGGAGAAGGACCAGGTTTTTGGTGGTGGTGTTTTGTGGTGAGTGGAGATGTGCTTCACTTCAGTCACATGGATCATGAACAGTTTTCTCTACTTCAGTGCAGAATAGTGACGTTTGTGTCTTGTTGATGACGTGTAGGTGGAATGAATGTGACCTGGACTGTTCACCACTCAAGTCACATGTTAAAGATCAGATTATGGATCAGTTTCAGGAGCACAGATCCAAGTGTCCTGGGTCGCATTTGAAAAAATCGGATCTGTGTGGTTCAGAGCGTCATTAAAAGATGGGATCCAGGTCACATAGGGGCCAAAAAATCGGATTTGGGTCACTTCAGGTGCAGTCTGAACGTAGACTTACAGTTACCAAACAGAACTCAGAATTTTCCCTGAATTATACTCGTAATCAAAAGGCCGATCTCAGGAAATCACAAAAACACTTTTAGTAATTCCAAGTTTGTTAGTGTGACCAGATTTCCCAAACTCAAAAACTGGGACACCCTCAGTTTGGGGCGGTGCGTAATTAAGGAAAACTGTCACATTTTCTTTGTGTTTTAGTCCATTTTTAAGCAGCTTTTTTTGTATTTTACTGAAACAAAAGTCAATTAACGTCTCTCTTTACTGTTGGCAGGGAACAAACTGGTCAAAAATAGAGACACGTGGGACATTTCTTGTATAAAACTGGGACAAATCAGTGGTTTTGGATGGAAAAAAGGGACGTCTGCTCACCCTGAAGTTTGTGGCGCTGTGAGACGAACCTAAAGCTAAAGCGTAAACACTGATCTTCCTTTTTATCGTCATGTTTTTGTGCGTTTCTGTCTCATTTTTTTTGTAAAGCGCAGGAGCTCCCGTCGCTCAGACCCGAGAGGGGACGGCGACTGGAAACTCAATTTAGATCCTTTTAGAAGTGGACAAAACCCCGAAACGCCGCGCTCGATTCAAACGCGCGCTTTAAAATGTGGACGGCGAACAATGAGACTCCATTATGGGACGCGGTCGCCGAGCGAACGCCGAGCGAACGCCGAGCGAAAACCGAGCGAACAGAGGCAGGCTTTTGTCCCCGACGCGGACGCTTTAAGAAGAGCTCCTGCCCGCGCCGCTTTGTGCACATTCAAACTCCCGATTTCATTTGCCGTTACATAATCGTCTCGTAAACACACTTAAAGCTGCATTGTGTAACTTTTCCCGGCGGAGATGCGGGTGTCGCCTCGTCTGGAATGTCCCCGCAGTACGGCATTAAACCTTCTTCTTAGACCAAAACGCACCAAGTTTCGAGGTATTTTTGAGCCACGGCATCGAATAAACGTAAAGCCGAGCCGTTTAAAGTCGCACTGTGGGACATTCCAGGCAGAGCAGTGACGTATCCATAGAAACGAGCAGGTGACGGACCCCCCCCCGAGCAAAAGTTACGCAGCGCAGCTTTAATGAAACGAGCGCGAATGTAGCAAAATGCAACTCCAGGGATCTTTCGGACGAACTTTCCAAGATGGTTCAAAGGTCCAAATTTGGTCCCTCTTTAAACGAGTCTTTAAAGCTGCACTGCGCAACTTTTCAGGGTGTTTTTCGATAGTTTGATTAGATAAATAATAATTTAGATAATAAATCATTCTCTCATAGTTTACTAATCATTAATAAATGCTCAAATTTGTACTTAAATATGCATTTGTAAACATGCAAATGGTTAGTTCATGAAATACTTATGAGTAACTATTTACAGCACAGGCGAATTAAGTGCAAGTTAAGTGCTAATTCAGGTAATAATTAAGTAGTTACTAAGCATGAATCATTAATTAAGCCTTTGTTCATGCTTTATTAAGGCTAAATAAGGTGTAGTTTTTATAAAGTGATACCAAAAAAAAAACTAAAAAACTGACGCCCAGGACAAGACGTAAAATGCGGACATGTCTGGGGAAAAACAAACGTCTGGTCACCCTACGTTTAATGCCGAGTTGTAGAAAATTCCAGGCAAAACAAAGACGTCTCCACGGGAACAGACGTTTGGCGGAAGCTCCACCGGGAAAGTTGCACCTTTAAATGATAAACGCTGATAAATTCTCTGTTCTGTTCTGTTCTGTTCCGACGGCGGGAACTGAACAGAGACTCAACTCCATTTATTCTCGGTCCGTGCGTTTCCCGAAGGCGCTGCTGACGTGACATTTCCACCTGTGATCTACGACGGGACGCGGAGACACACGGAGCAGCGGCGGGTTTTTCTGGAACCACCGAACCCTGACGGACGGTGCGCCGGTCGAGCTTTTGAATCTCAGTTAAGAACGAAAAACAGCAAAACGGAAAAACGGTTTGACATCTCAATTTTACGTTTTAGCGTCAAACAAAAAACACATTTCAACCTCTATTTCCAACATTTAGTTTAAGGTTTTTACAGACTCTGTGCCTGTTTTCAATGTTGATATTTTATTCTCTCTGGTTTATTTGCTGCGGAAGTTCTCGCTGCGTCCCGTTTCTCGTCGTGGATCAACAGTGACTTTCGAAGACGTGAAAATAAACGCGTCGCTGTAAAAGACGGCGACATGTTCGTCCACGAAACTGCAACGATTTTTCAGGTGAGTCCTTCAGCAGCAGAACGTCCGGAGAGAAGTAAAATAACAAATTAAAGTAAGTATTGGAAATAGAGATCGAAATCTGTGAAATGAAATAACAAACTGTTTTCCCATTTTATTGTTTTTCGTTCTTAATTGAAAATTCTAAAGAACGAATTGTACACGGACCCCTGATAAATCCTGATTTTAGAGTCATTTGGACCATTTCAGACCTGGAATTTGGTCATTTTCAAGCTCGTTTTTTCAAGTTCTTGTATAAAAATTGGGGCAAATTAATAGTTTTGTATAAATCTCCTGGGACAGAGGACACAGGACTCTGCTCACCCGAGGAAAGAGTCAAGACCTTAGAGACAAAATTCTAAAGACCGAAATGAGTGGGACAAGGCCATAACAGGTTCTGGTGTGACTTTCTGC